CCGTGGCTACCTGGAACCTTACTCTGTTTACTATTACTCTTTGTGCTTTATTTGTCAGGAAGTTATAGATTCATCTACCAACTTTTCCTGTTATTCTTTATCACGCATTTTGTGTGCTATTACACCATGCTCACACTTGTCGAAAGCTTTTGCAAAGTTTGTGTATACTAAATCTGTATTTTGTTTATCCTCTACAGCATCCAGGACCTTGTCATAGTGGTCCAGTAGCTGGGATAGGCAGGAGCGACCTGCTCTAAACCCGTGTTGCCCTGGGTTGTGTAATTGATGGATATCTAAGTGGTTGGCTATCTTGTTTCTTAGAACCCTCTCAAAGAGTTTTATGATATGGGATGTTAATGCTATTGGTCTGTAGTTTTTTGCAATTGCTTTACTGCCACATTTGTGGAGTGGGGCTATGTCTGTTGCTTTTAGTGTGTGTGGGATGACCCCTGTGTCCATGCTCCTTCTCCATAAAATGCTGAAGGCACACGATAGGGGCTTCTTGCAATTCTTGATGCACATGGAGCTCCACGAGTCTGGGCCTGGGGTAGAGTGCATGGGCATGTCATTACAGTGGACCCTCGCCTAACGATGGCATCGCATAATGTTAAATCCACCTAGCGATACATTTTAACACAAAAATTTTGCCTCGCCTAGCGCTAAAAAACTCGCTCAACGCGATTTGTCCGAGACGCGTCCACGTGCGGCCTGAGCCAGCCTCACTTGTTCCGTGGGTGGCAGTGTTTACAAGCTAGCCTCCACGATCACATCCAAGCATACAATCGGAACATTTCATATTATCACAGCGTTTTTAGTGATTTCACCTGCAAAATAAGTGACCATGGGCCCCAAGAAAGCATCTAGTGCCAACCCTGCGGTAAAAAGGGTGAGAAATACAGTGGACCCCCGCTTAACGATCACCTCCAAATGCGACCAATTATGTAAGTGTATTTATGTAAGTGCGTTTGTACGTGTATGTTTGGGGGTCTGAAATGGACTAATCTACTTCACAATATTCCTTATGGGAAAAAATTCGGTCAGTACTGGCACCTGAACATACTACTGGAATGAAAAAAGTTCGTTAACCGGGGGTCCACTGTACTATCGTACCACAGTCAGCTGCTGCTGCACCACCGTCAGCTGTTGCTGGACCAGTCAGCTATTTGCTGCACCACAGCTGCTGCTGCACCACAGCCAGCTGCTGCTGCACCTCGGTCAGCTGTTGCTGCACTAGTCAGCTGTGGTGCAGCAGCACCACAGCTGACTAGTGCTGCTACACCACGGTCAGCTGTTGCTGCACCACAGTCGGCTGTTGCTGTTGCTGTTGCTGCACCACCATCAGCTGTATTACTCGAAGATGTGGATAGTGTGTTGTTGGTATGGCTTAACATGAAACAATTACCGAGAAACGATTAACCCCAGAGGGTTAGCCACCCAGGATAACCCAAGAAAGTCAGTGCATCATCAAGGACTGTCTAACTTATTTTCATTGGGGTCCTTAATCTTGTCCCCCAGGATGCGACCCACAACAGTTGACTAACACCCAGGTGAACAGGAAAAAATGCCTGGAACTAGTGCTCATATTGGTGAGGTTAGTGGGGAGGATGTGGAAGAGTTGGTGGAGGAGGACAATGATGAACTAACCACTGATGAGCTGCTAGATCATCTTCAACAGCAAGAGGCCAGACCTGAGGAAACTGCTTGGGAGGAGGGGAGAGAGAAATTGAAGAAGTTGCCTACTTCAAAGATTAAGGAAATGTGTGCAATGTGGCTTGAAGTGCAAACCTTTTTTGATGAAAATCACCCTGACACAGCTATTGCAAGCTGTGCTGGTGACTATTACACTAACAATGTTGTGAACCACTTTAGGAAAGTCATAAAGGAACGAGAGGTACAGGCCTCTATGGACAGATATATTGTGCGACAGAGGTCCAGTGACTCTCAAGCTGGTCCTAGTGGCATTAAAAGAACAAGGGAAGTAACCCCGGAAGAGGACTTGACACCTCAAGTCCTAATGGAAGGGGATTTCCCTTCTAAACACTAAGACCATCCACACTCTCCCCTCCTCCCATCCCATCAGTCATCACCAGATCTTCAATAAGGTAAGTGTCATGTATTGTACATCTCTTCTTCAGTTTGTGTGCATTAAAATTAATATTTCATGTGGTAAAAAAAATTTTTTTCACACTTTGGGGTGTCTTGCACGGATTAATTTGATTTCCATTATTTCTTACGGGAATATTAATTCGCCTAACGATAATTTCGCCTAATGTTGAGCTCTCAGGAACGGATTAATATCGTTAGGCGAGGGTCCATTGTAATTGCCTCTTCAAAGTCTTGTGGAGTTAGAATAATATCCGAGATTTTTGGGATGACCAAATTTTGGGTTTCGTTCATAAAGAATTTATTTGGATTGTCGACCCTTAGTCTGGGTAGTGGCTCGGTGAACAGAGTCATATTGGGACTTTAGTATCTCACTCATTTCTTGGCTGTCATCTGTGTATGTCCCATCCCGCCTAAGCAGGGGCCCAATACTGGATGTTGTTTTTCCCTTAGATTTGGCATAAGAGAAGAAGTATTTTGGGTTTTTTCAATTTCCTTTATGGCTTTTAGTTCTTCCTGTGATTCCTGTCTCCTATAAGATTCCTACAGCTTAAGTTCGATATCTGCAATTTCACTGACTAGTACCTCCCTTCGTATTTTAGATATATTGGCCCCACTCAGCAGCTCTGTGACTCTTTGCCTTCGTCTGTATAGGGAATGTCTCCCTTTCTAGTTTACATCTTCTCTTTCTTTTTCTTAACGGAATGCATCTTGAGCAGATCTCAAGAGCCACAGAGTTCATTTTTTCAAGGCAAATGTTTGGATCCCTGTTGTTTAGGATATCTTCCCAGTTTGTTTCATTGAGGACATGGTTTACTTGATCCCATTTTATGTTTTTGTTATTGAAATTGAATTTCATGAGGAGACCTTCATGACTGCTCACATTTTGCTGGTCCGGAGCCCTGTGCATACATGTCTGTATCTCTATTATGTTGCGATCTGAGTGTATTGTCTTTCATACTCCTCCATTTTAGGTATCTCAAGTTGAAATCTCCTAGTAGTAAGATGTTTGGGGCAGGAGTTGGGAGATTTTCCAGACAGTGGTCAGTTTTCACAAGCTGCTCCTGGAATTGCTGGGAAGTTGCATCTGGAGGCTTGTATGCTACCACAACGACAAGGTTTTTGTTGTTAGGTAAGACACACATGCAACAGTTAGGTATCTTTATTACGAAACGTTTCGCCTACACAGTAGGCTTCTTCAGTCGAGTACAGAAAAGTTGATAGAAGCAGAAGATACTTGAAGACGATGTAATCAGTCCATCACCCTTAAAGTTTTGAGGTGGTCAGTCCCTCAGTCTGGAGAAGAGCATTGTTCCGTTGTCTGAAAACATCGTCTTCAAGTATCTTCTGCTTCTATCAACTTTTCTGTACTCGACTGAAGAAGCCTACTGTGTAGGCGAAACGTTTCGTAATAAAGATACCTAACTGTTGCATATGTGTCTTACCTAACAATCTGTCGGTATTTTATACCATTTTAATGTTCAAGGTTTTTGTTTTCAATCTTTACCACCAAAACTTCAACTACATCATTTGAGGTGTTTAGTAGTTCTATGCAAATGAGCGACTCTGTGACATACAGGCCAACCCTCCCCTTGTTGCCTGTTTAGTCTGTTGCATTAGAATAGGTTATAACCTGGGATCCATATTTTGTCATAATGATCCTTTATGTGGGTCATGAGTTGCTCTCTGTCTCAGAGAGCCACTCATGAACCTACAGGTAGTCACGTCTGATTCTTGAACAACTGAAAATGCATATTACTTGCCTGTCATGCTTATTATGCATTATATCTACAAGCACAGTATAGCACTGTCTGGATTTCTCGGGTTATCCTAGGTAATTTACACTACGTATAATTGTATTTATGTGTACCTGTGAGATAGATACAGACAGAGATAGAGACAGCCAAAGTCAATCAGCCAGCAGCCGCCAGCCAGCCAGCCTGCCAAACACGTATTACACGTTCCAGAATTGTTTCTCTTTACTTAGGGCATAGGTCATAGGACATTCTGGCAGGATGACACTACCAGTGGTACCAAAACTGAAAGTGCTACACAAATGTTGCACATGGGTTATTATCGAAGTTCTTGATATTTCCTCGACCAAATCTGGCCACATCCACCTCAAAGCTACTAAACTCAGGGTCAACATCACTTTCCTCTTAAAAGAGGAGTGTTAATACAACATGACATCAGTGAATTCCTGGTCTCTGCCACGCTGTTTGCTCTAGCTGGCATTCATTTGAAAAGGTGCTCCCACAAGGTACTAAGTGGTCCCACATTTTTTTAATACTGTGCACACCGAGTGTTAAGACCCATTCTATGCCGACCAGGCATCTCAGGCCAATCATGCCAAATTTGGAGGCAGGAAAAACACAACGTTGATCTATGTTTTGAGCGCTAGCGGTAACAATGCAGATCTACGTTTGGACAGTTAAGGGGCTAACTGGTGATCCAATGTACATTCAATACATCCTGCATTTGACCTTAATACAATGACTTCAGCATATTATCAACACCCAGTACAGTACATGTAATTTAATTCTCAAATGTTGTTATACTGTCCTTTAAAATGTAGAGTCAATCTGAACAAGATATACATGAAAAAATAAGGATCTTTTGGCAAAAAGTTAGGGGTCAACTTATAAACATTATCAACCAACACTCAAGTGTAAACCAGTGCCAACAAGAGACATTATTGTTGTAAATGAAAATACTTTAACAGCTTCAGGAAAAAAAATACAAGCTTTTTTTCTTTGCATCACTTTATCATTCAGTGATACTTAATTAGCAAAAAAAAATATAATTTACTGTTGAGCAGTGACCTGTTGGAATCTGCAAAACAAAGCAGTGCAATGAGGCTGGTGCAGCAATTAGGCACCATTTAATTTTCAACTTACTTTGCTCTGGGAGTGGTGCGGCACACGGTTTATGTGGAGCGGCTGGTAGGGCTTTTGTTTCTGTTTACGAGAAAGGGATGGAGAAGGTCCAGGAGATGTACCTCTGGGAGAGGCTTGTCCACTACTATATGGATCACCCAGAGTCCCTGATGGGAAACCTGACCCAAGACGAGGTGAGCCTGCTGACAAACTCTGTAAAGTCTGTTCAGAAAAGACCATATTTTTATGGAATGTATATGACATGATTCAGTACAACAGGGTTAACCATTAATTAAATACTTTTGTTAATAATCAGTTACAAGTACTTATAGCGATTCCAAATTATTTTTAAGTATTAACTATATATGTCAGCATTATCTGCTAATGATAGTTGAAATTAAATATATGAAAGAGAAAACAGACTCACTGCTAAGTCTGTATCAGGCAGAGGTGGGTTCATGGGCTGAAGATATTGGACTTGAGTCAAGTCAGGAAGAGAACCAGTATTAGGTAGTGCTCCGACACCCCCTCCACCTCCCCCTCCCCCAGGTCCAGCTCCTCCAACATTATTTATGGACGTGGGGATGGGAATATTTGCACTCCGCTGTATGTGGTTCACCCTGTTTATACAAGAAAATATAAATATCACAATAACAACACATTATCAAGACTACAGAGAGAATCAATTGCAGGAGGGAGATCCATGGAGGTATATCTGTTCACAACCCTGGTATGTCTCCCAAAAATTATTTTTAGAACTTTTAACACAAAAAGACTATAAACAGAAAAATATCTATTATAAAATCAGCTACTGAGAAACTATAAACCCATTCCATAGTTTATTTCAAGCCAACCCTATGCCAAGGTATTCGCTTGTTTGAAAAAAGATTGCTTATTAACCCTTTGACTGTTTTGGTCGCACATATACGTCTTAACCCTTTCAGGGTCCAAGGCCCAAATCTGGAGTCATGCACCAGTGTCCAAGAATTTTCAAAAAAAAAATTTGTTATTTTTTCTTATGAAATCGTAGAGAATCTTTTTGTGAAGGTAATAAAACAAAAAGTACGAAATTTGGTGGAAAATTGACGAAATTATGCTCTCGCGAATTTTGATGTGTCAGCGATATTTACGAATCGGCGATTTTGCCGACTTTGACTCCCATTTTAGGCCAATTACATTATTCCAATCAACCAAATTCTTAGCTATTTCACTAGTATTACTTCTATTCTATCGATTGAGCACAAGAAATCGCCAAGTCAACTGTTTCAACTACAAAATAAAGTGATCGGAAATTGTCAATTTGGCCAATTTAACACAAAGTTCAAAATATTTCAATTTCAAAATAGGGTCCAGAATAAACAATGTAGGCATTCCTGGCACTAAACTAACATTTCCTCTGTTCGTTAGTTATGTTTTGAGGCTTTACAAATAAATTCCATTTTGATTTTTTATTCACATAATGAATTTTTATTCACACCAAAAAATAGAAGATTTACTGTTATGCAATACTGTAATAATTGTATAAATATCTTCACCATATTTGTGAATGTATATTAGACCCACCAGCTGACGTGTATTAGATGTGTGAGGTCGTTTGTTTACTCTTGAATATCGGCAAAAATTTAACATTTCCGCTACTTTGAGCTCAGTTTCAAGCCATTTCCAGTGCTAAAACCAATCAAAATCATCTCTATTTCTGTAATATGTCTTCCATTCTATCAAATGAGACCAAGAAATCGCAAATACAACTATAAAAAACATACGAAAAAACACTGCAAAGTTGCTGTTTTAATCGAAAAATCATGATCTGCAGGATCTGTTTTATGTGGTGCACACATACCACATAGATGTATTCTCTCATATCTAGGCCCAAATGTACCACTCACAGTTTATCAGAGTGAGCTGAGCTCATGGCGTAGATCTACGGTTTGGACACTCACCGTAAAGCCGTAGATCTACGGGACGGACCCTGAAAGGGTTAAGAGCCAGTGTTTCGGATGTATATATACTCAATAATTCTAGCGGCTTCAAATCAAGCAGGAGAAAGCTGGTAGGCCCACATGTGAGAGAATGGGTCTGTGTGGTCAGTGTGCACCACATAAAAAAAATCCTGCAACATGCAGTGCATATTGAGAAAAAAAACTGACCGTTTTTTGGATTAAAACGCCGACTTTGAGGAGTATTTTCCTATAGTATTTATCGTTGTATTCTCGTTTTCATGGTCTCAAGTGATAAAATAGGAAACATATTGCAGATATAGAGATGATTTTAATTAGTTTCACAATGAAAACAACCTTGAAATTGAGCTCAAACTAGCGGAAATGTTCGATTTTTACCAATGTTCAAGAGTAAGCAAATCACACCACACGTCCAATAAACATCAACTGGGGAGTCTAATATTCTTTCACTAGTTTATCTGGAGTTTATCTGGAGAGAGTTCCGGGGGTCAACGCCCCCGCGGCCCGGTCTGTGACCAGGCCTCCTTAGGTCATTGTCCCAGGATGCGACCCACACCAGTCGACTAACACCCAGGTACCCCATTTTACTGATGGGGAACATAGACAACAGGTGGAAAGAAACACGTCCAATGTTTCTACTCTGGCTGGGAATCGAACCCAGGCCCTCACCGTGTGAAGCGAGAGCGTTAACCACTTTTACAATAATGCAGTAGTCAGCATAACAGTAAATTTTGTATTTTTTGTATGAATAAAAAATAAAAACAGAAAGCAATAGTAATATAAGAAGGGCCTAGAGACGTGACTAATGAACAGAGGATATGTTATTTTAGTGCCAAGAATGAATACATTGTTTATTCTGGACCCTATTTTGAAATTGGCATCTTTTTTAATTTGCGTGAAATTGGCCAAACTGCCAATTTCTGACCACTTTATTGAGTACAGTGGAACCTCAAAAATCGAACTTAATCCATTCCAGGTGCTAGTTCTAAATTCGAAAAGTCTGAAATTCGAAGCAATATTTCCCATAAGAAACAATGGAAATACAATTAATCCGTTCCAGAAACCCAAAAATATTCACACAAAAAATACATTTTATAGATTAATTACAGTTTTACATACAACAAATACTATAGTTTTTAATTATGTATAGTAATACATATAAAATAACATTTTTACTTACCTTTATTGAAGATTGGTGATGGCATCTGGAAGATAGGGAGGAGAGAGGGAGTTGGGGTTAGTGTTTGGAAGGAGAATCCCCCTCCATGAGGACTTCAGGTAAAGCCCTCTCTGGGGTTACTTCCCTTCTTTGTCTTTTAATGCCACTAGGACCAGCTTTAGAGTCACTGGACCCCTGTCTCACAAAATAACTGTCCACAGTCCTCTGTTTCTGGCACCTCTTTAACATTTCCCTAAAATGGGACATGGTTCTGTCACTGAACTTGTTGCAAAGATGGCTTGTTTCAGCTTGCTCAGGGTGGTACTTCTGCACAAACATTTGGACATCATTCCACTTGGCACTAATCTCCTTAATCTTTGAAGAAGGCACCTCATCCACTCCCTCTTCCTCCTCCTCTGAAGCAAGTTCCTCAGCTGTGGTCTGATACTGCTCCAGATGAAGCTCTTGCAGCTCTTCAGTGGTTAGCTTTTCCCTGTGGTCCTCCACCAACTCTTCCACATCCTCACCACTCACCTCCAACCCCAGGGTGTTCCCCCAATGCCACAATAGAGTCCACAACAGACAGAGGGTGAGCTGGGTCAGGGTCAGGGTCAGGGTCAGGGTCAGCCTCAAACCCTTCACAATCCCTCTTTTTGGACACACTCTGGCCACAATTGTCTCCAAGCAGAGTTCAAAGTCCTGGAAGTCACTCCCTCCCAAGCCTTACCTATAAGGCTTATGGAGCTGTAGATGTTGAAGTGATTCCTCCAGAACTCTCTTAGGGTCAACTTAGTGTCTGTGGTCACTTCAAAGCACTTTTCAAACACTGCTTTTTTGTAGAGTTTTTTGAAGTTAGAAATGACCTGCTGGTCCATGGGCTGGAGGAGAGGAGTGGTGTTAGGAGGCAAGAACTTCACTTTTATAAAACTGAAGTCCTTAGACAAGAGGTCTAATAAGTTTGGAGGATGAGCAGGAGCATTGTCCATTAACAGGAGGCACTTGAGTGGCAATTTCTCTTCCTGGAGGTATTTTTTCACACTGGGGCCAAACACTTCATGGACCCACTCTTTGAAAATTTGTCTTGTGACCCATGCCTTATGATTAGCTTTCCACAAGACACATACCTTGTTCTTAAAGACATGATTTTTCTTAAACACTCTGGGATTTTCTGAATGATACACAAGTAAAGGCTTCACTTTAAAATCACCACTAGCATTAGCACAGAACAAAAGAGTAAGCCTGTCTTTCATAGGCTTGTGTCCTGGCAGTGCCTTTTCCTCCTGTGTGATGAAGGTCCTTTTTGGCATTTTCTTCCAAAACAAGCCTGTTTCATCACAATTAAACACTTGTTCAGGTTTCAATTCTTCACTGTCTATGTACCCCTTAAACTCCTGTACAAACTTCTCAGCCGCCGTTTGTCTGAACCGGCTGCTTCACCACGTCTTACAACATTGTGTATACCACTACACTTCTTAAATCTCTCAAACCAGCCTCTGCTGGCCTTAACCCTTTGAGGGTTTCGGCCGTACTAGTACGGCTTACGACCCAGGGTTTTTGACGTACTAGTACGCCTAAATTCTAGCGCCCTCAAATCTAGTGGGAGAAAGCTGGTAGGCCTACATATGAAAGAATGGGTCTATGTGGTCGGTGTGCACAGTACAAAAAAAAATCCTGCAGCACACAGTGCATAATGAGAAAAAAAAAACTTTGACCGTTTTTTTGGAATAAAACAGGGACTTTGCACTGTATTTTCGTATGGTATTTATTGTTGTATTCTAGTTTTCTTGGTCTCATTTTATAGAATGGAAGACACATTACAGAAATTGAGATGATTTTAACTGGTTTTACAATGAAAAGTACCTTGAAATTGAGCTCAAAGTAGCAGACATGTTCGATTTTTACCAAAGTTCAAAAGTAAACAAATCATGCCAAGCGTCCAATACACGTCAACTGGCGAGTCTAATATTCTTTTGCAAGTGCGCCAATATTATTTATACCATTTTTTACACCAATGCAGTAGTCTGCATAACAGTAAATCTTCTATTTTTTTTGTGAGAATAAAAATTCAAAGTGGAAAGCAAAAGAATGTAAAAGGGGCCTTGAGACATGACTAATGAACAAAGGAAATGTCATTTTAGTGCCAGGAATGTCTTTCTTGTTTATTCTGGACCCTATTCGGGAATTGGCATCTTTTGAAATTTATGCGAAATTAGCAAAATTGCTAATTCTGACCACTGTATTGGATAGTTGAAATTGGTAAATGGGTGGTTTCTTGCACTCATTCGATAGAAAAAATGGAGTTCTAGCGAAATATTCATGTTTTTTTGTCGACTAGTGCAGTGGAATTGGCCGAAAATGGGGCTCAAAGTGGGCAAAATCACTGATGCGTAAACATCGCCGAGACCGCTAACTTCGCGAGAGCATAATTCCCTAAGTTTTCCATCAAATTTCATAATTTTGGTGTGATTATGATCGGGAAAAGATTCTCTATCTTTTCATAAGAAAATTTTTTTTTTTTTTTTAAATTTGGCCAACCCTGAGAACGAGTCTCGGAGATGGCCTGTCGACCCTCAAAGGGTTAAATTCACTATCAGCACTGGTTCCAGGAATTTTCTGTACCAGATCGGCATGCAACTTCCTTGCCTTTTCGCAAATAATCATCTCCGAAACACTATCACCTGCAATCTCTTTCTCCTTGATCCACACCAGCAACAACTTCTCAACCTCTTCAACTATTTGTGGTCTTTTTTTGGTTAGCATATTAACACCTTTCGCAACATCAGCTTCCTTGATTTGTTCTTTCTTTGACAGGATAGAACCGATGGTCGACTTTGTTTTTCCCATACATCCTGGCAAGCTCAACAAGTCTCACACCACTCTCATACTTCTGTATTATTTCCTTCTTCACATCTATGGTGTTTCTCACTTTCTTTACCACAGGGGTACCACTAGCAAGTTTCTTTGGGCACATGGCAGCTTATTTCACAGTCCCACAAGCACTAAACACAACGAAATAATCGTAAAATGCGTGAATGAGAGTGCAGGTTAGTGTTCAGTCAAGCATAAACAAAGCTAAACTGCTCACGGCGCCTGCGCGGGGACACGGACAGAGCGGGTCGGCAGACAGGTCCCGTACCCGGCGGTCCAAAAATAGGGGCGCGTTCGATAATAGGGACACAGTTTGTCCGAAAAAATGGTCCTATTTTCGAAACGTTCGATATGTGCTACGTTCGATTTTTGAGGTTCCACTGTAGTTCAAATTGGTAAATGGGCGGTTTCTTGTACTCAGTCGATAGAAAAAATGGAGTTCTAAAGAAATAGCTATGAGTTTAGTCAACTGGAACAATGGAATTGGCCAAAAACAGGGCTCAAAGTCGGCAAAATCATCGATGTGTATATGTCGGCGAGACTGCTAACTTCGCGGGAGCGTAATTCCGTGAGTTTTCGACCAAATTTCGTACTTTTGGTGTCATTACCATCGGGAAAATATTCTCTACCATTTCATAACAAAAAATAATTTTTTTTTTCCCAAAATTTTTTTGCGACATAGAATGACAGTTTCAGAAAGGGGCTTGCGACAGTCAAAGGGTTAAAAAGGAGTGCATTCTGAAAACAGATGTAGTTGTCCTTACAAATTCACAGGTAAGGTTACATTCCTAGAAGTTCTGCTAAAGCAGAAACGACAAATACAAAATTAAGTCTGTATATCAAATTTTATTACAAATTTGAGTTTATGAGTTTCAGAGCTTATATCTCTGTAATACATCTCTGGTTAATATCAATCACAAGAAATAATGACCAGAATAAAGAGAGATCTGGGTGTAACAAAGCCAAAGAAGCATTGGATAACCGAGTCTATTCACTAGTTGCCATATGTAAAAACACTGGATATCGAAATTTGCAAATACAGAGGACTCTGAATTTGTAGGAAAGGCTACAGGGGTGAGGATGTTGCACTTCAGAGGGCCATCTAAACTATGATGTCAGTGCACTTCTGGTTAGATAGAGACTGAACTAATGCCAGTGAATGTTTTTTTTTGTGTGTGTGTGTGTGGGGGGGTGAGGGGGGTCACCCTATGCTGATGGGAAACAATTGGTGCTAAAAAAATTATAAAAACTTCTTATCATGGGTCAGGCAAATTTTTAATACTGACCTCCTTACTTACCAAATCAGATAATGCCTTTATATACTGTCTAAAAAATTACAACAGATAAATTATCTAGCTTTGAGTCCTGTAGCTACAAATAGTAGTTACATACATGAAGAAATAAACTCAAATTTCTTAAGTACAATGGAACCTCTACTTGCGAGCACATCCACGTGCAAGTTTTCCCAAATACAAGCTGTCGATGGGTAAATTTTTTGCTTCCATACTCGAGCAAAATTTCCATAAGCGAGCAGACCTCAAGGCAGGTGCCTTGACGCTTGTGAGGGGCTCTTTCTCTTGATCTAGGGAACTGTATCTCATTTGTTTGTTGGACTATCTTATTGAAACTTGGGCAATGTATGATGGAAAGATGCTTCTTAAAGTAATAATAATAATATAATAATCAGATGTATAATAATAATACATATAATAAGTATAATACATGTACAATAATAATAATATAATACATATAATAATAATACACTGTAATTGTTTTACATGATGGTAGGATTGCTGGTGTCCATTTTTCTGTCTCATGAACATGCAAGGCTTCAGGTACGTCTTGCTACTTCTACTTACACTTAGGTCACACTACACACACATGTACAAGCATATATATACAGTGGTCCCTCGTTTTTCGTAATTAATCCGTTCCTGGAACCGTTACTATAAACGAAATTTACGATTTGCGAATCAATTTTCCCCGTAAGAAATAATGTAAATACAATTAATCCGTTTCTGACACTCAGAAGTATTAAAACAAAAAAAAATTTTTACATGAAATATACATATAGTACATAAACAATACAATGGGAAATGATGAATGAAACATTAACAGCATAACACTTACCTTTATTGGAGATTCTTCTTAGTGTATGGGAGACTGGAGGAGGAGAGAGATTGGATTGTTTACAGTTTGGAAGGGGAATCCCCTTCCAGCAACACCTCAGGTACCAATTGCTTCTCTGGGGTTGCTTCTCTTCTCTGTTTCTTAATGCCACTAGGACCACCTTGAGAGTCACTCTAGTCCTGCCTTGCAAAGTAACTGTGGAGAGAGCTCTGTTTCTGGCGTCTCTTTAACACTTCCCGAAAATGGCCCAAGACTTTGTCACTGTACATATTTCTCACCTTCTTTACCACAGGCTTGGCACTAGGAGCTTTCTTTGGAGCCATGGTAGCTTATTTGGTAATTGCAAGCACTAAAATGAGTGGATTATGAAATATTTCATAGAAGCACTTGAGGGGACCTTCACTCACTGGTAAACAATGCCAGACTGGCCGGGTAGGGAGGCCGCCCCGGCTCACACCGTGCGTACACTTCCCGGACGAACTACTATTCGCGAGTCAACCTATGAAAAGCGAGTCCATGTTTATACGAAAATACCCCTATGATTGGGGAAATTTACGATTGCCGAGAACTACGAAAAGCAAGGGACCACTGTACATACATACCCCTCTGGGTTTTCTTCCATTTTCCTTCTAGTTCTTGTTCTTGTTTATTTCCTCTTATCTTCATGGGGAAGTGGAACAGAATTCTTCCTCCGTAAGCCATGCGTGTCATAAGAGGCGACTAAAATGCCAGGAGCAAGGGGCTAGTAACCCCTTCTCTTGTACATATTACTAAATGTAAAAGGAGAAACTTTCCTTTTTCCTTTTGGGCCACCCCGCCTCGGTGGGATACGGCCGGTTTGTTGAAAGAAAGAAGAAAAGAATAATAATTCATATACAATAATAATGTACTACATAATAATTATAATAACAGATTACTTCAAAAGGCCGTCACTAGATTGGGAGTGGTTGTGGCCGCCTCCACTTGTTACATAATGACACACTTTATGCATTCTGGAGTATATATCAGGTTTCTTTGGTATTTATATTGTTTATTATTTCATGTTAGATGAACTGTGATAGATAAATAAGCCATATAGTTGATAGTAAAATATTCAAGGAGTATTTTGTCCTGTCGCCAGACAAACTCTCATTGGCCACTGCCACATATACAGTGGTCCCTCAATAATCGTCCGGCCTGAAAGTCGTCCATTTCGGAAATAGTCCTGTTTTTTCGTCAAAATATTGGCTTGCAAATGGTCCGGTAACTCGCTAATAGTCCTAATAGTCCTTCGTCCTGGATGCATACTCACGCTCTGAGCCGCCTCGGCCTTTCCTTCCCAGCCAGTGTGCCATTGTTTACCAGTGAGTGACGGTCCCCTCACATGCTCCTATGAAATATTTCATAATATTCCATTGATTTTAGTGCTTGCAAGTGCTAAATAAGCTACCATGGCTCCAAATAAAGCTTCTAGTGCCAGCCCTTTGGTAAAGAATGTGAGAAACACATAATTTATGAAAAAGTTTGTAGAAAAATACAAAGATGATGGTGGTAGAGTGGAAGCAGTTGTGATAGTGGTTGATGAACATAAGAAAGGAGGATCACTGCAGCAGGCCTGTTGGCCCAAGCTCGGCAGGTCCTTTACAATTCATCCCACTAACGAAACATTTTCCCAACCCAGTCCTCAATGCTACCCAAGAAATAAGCTCTGATAACTCTATCCACTCATTTACAAGTCCCAAATGAGTGGATAGAGTTATCAGAGCTTATTTCTTGGGTAGCATTGAGGACTGGGTTGGGAAAATATTTCGTTAGTGGGATGAATTGTAAAGGACCTGCCGAGCATGGGCCAATAGGCCTGCTGCAGTGATCCTCCTTTCTTATGTTCATCAACCACTATCACAACTTCCACTCTACCACCACCATCTTTGTATTTTTCTACAAACTTTTTCATAAATTATGTGTTTCTCACATTCTTTACCAAAGAGCTGGCACTAGAAGCTTTCTTTGGTGGTAGTGATGGTGGTAGAAGGTAGTAGTGATGGTGGTAACAGTTGTAATAGTGGTAGAAGGTCGTAGTGATGGTGGTAGAGGGTTCCTTCTTTAGTGATTCAGCGATTCTACCAACTCCTCCAATGTTGGAGTTATATAGGGCTACAAAAACCACCGCCGCCTCACCACCATTATGGACGGCTTACACTCAGTGGCCCTTATATACCCAACAACAACACAACACAACACCTCTCGTGACATATGTAATGACTTATTTTATTCATTCTAGAGTATATTCCACGTTTCTATGTTATTAATATTGTTTATTATGTCATATTAGTTGAATTGTGATAGATAAATAAGCCATAGAGTTGATATTAGTGTCATATTTTCCAACAATAAACTTGCCATCCCTCCCTCACACAAACAAATAGCCAATAAGAACATAACAATGGAAGAACACTGCAGGTCTACTGGCCCATACAAGGCAGGTCCTTATCAAAATGACCTCCACCCAAAGCTACCCAAGAATTTACTCCCGTACCCAATGACAAATCAAACTCGGCTCCTCCAACTCGTATATTTGTCCAATCTCTTCTTGAAGCTACCCAAGGTGGCTCTGGTGGCCTGGTGGTTAACGCTCTCGCTTCACACGGCGAGGGCCTGGGTTCGATTCCCAGCCAGAGTAGAAACATTGGACGTGTTTCTTTCCACCTGTTGTCTATGTTCCCCATCAGTAAAATGGGTACCTGGGTGTTAGTCGACTGGTGTGGGTCGCATCCTGGGACACTGACCTAAGGAGGCCTGGTCACAGACCGGGCCGCGGGGGCGTTGACCCCCGAAACTCTCTCCAGATAAACTCCAGATAAAGGTCCTAGCCTCGATCACCCTACTGGTAAGTGTGATGTTAAATAAGAACTTAAGAAAGTAGGAACACTGGAACAGGCCTGCTGGCCCATACTAGGCCGGTCCTTCACAAATCCAACCCACTAACAGAACAAATGCTACCCAAACAATTAGCTCAGGTGCAAGTCCGACTCAAATCCAACCCCTCTCACTCGTGTATTTATCCAACCTAAATTTGAAACTACCCAAGCCATAGCTTTTAGAACATTGGAAAGGAGGAACACTGCAATAAGCCTGTTGGCCCATACTAGGCCGGTCCTTCACAAATCCAACCCACTAACAGAACAAATGCTACCCAAGCAATAAGCTCAGGTGCAAGTCCGACTCAAATCCAACCCCTCTCACTCGTGTATTTATCCAACCTAAATTTGAAACTACCCAATGTTTTAGCTTCGATCACCCTACTAGGCAGACAGTTCCACTCATCAACTACCCCTATTACCAATGTTCATTTATACATTTTATTAGTGCCCTAGAGTCCTTATGGAGGGGGATTCCCCTTCGAAATAACCTCTCTTCCTCCCTGTCTTCCATTCACCAACAACAGCCTTCAATAAAGGTAACTGTCATGTTGAATGTTCATTCTTTTGTGCATGTATATCTATCTTTTAGGTAAAAAAAAAATTGTTGTTGATACTTCTGGGTGTCTGGAACGAATTAATTGGATTTACATTATTTCTTATGGGGAAAATTGATTCGAAAATCGTCCATTTCGATAATAGTCCCACTTCCAGGAACGGATTATGGACGATTATTGAGGGACCACTGTATAATGACATATTTTATTCATTCTAGAGTATATATCAGGTTTCTATGTTATTTATATTGTTTGTTATGTCATATTAGATGAACTGTGATAGATAAAGAAGTCATAGTGTTGATATTAGCAAAACTATTGAAGTACAGAATTCCACTGGAACAGATTAATTGCATTTCAATTAATTTAAATGAGGAAAATTGACTCTGCAAATGAGCAAATCCAGTTGCGAGCAAGGTCATGGAACGGATTAAACTCGCAAGTAGAGGTTCCACTGTATATACAGTGGAATCTCGTCTTACAAATTTAATCTGTTCCGGGACCTTGTTCGTATCCTGATTTGTTCGTATGCTGAGTCAATTTCCTCATTCAAATTAATTGAAATGCAATTTATTTGTTCCAGCCTCTCAGGAGGCATGACAAAATAATGCTAATATCAACTCTAATGCTTAGTTATCTATCAAAGTTCATCTAATATGACATAATGAACAATATTAATAACACAGAACCATGATATATACACCTACCATCCGACTTACGCCCAAGCTTGGTTCCGACCAACCGGTCTTAAGTCAAAATGGACGTAAGTCAAACCTTTGAAAATTGCCGATGTACTGGGTAGGGCATAATGTCAAACCTTTCCTATATAACCTACCTACACAGTACTGTAATGTACAATCATTATTTCATTCTTTTTACCATAATTTACTTCTATTGTTATATTTTAATTATTTATGTACTGTATATAATGTATACATGGTAGTGAACTGTATTGTAAATTTTACATTGCATACAGTATCATATGTTACTGTTATCTTTATGTATTGTCGACACAGTGGAATGGGAGAATACCACTGGTAGTGTCATCCTGCCAGAATGTACTATAACTTATACCCTAAGTAAAGAGAAACAACTCTGGAACATGTGTAATACGTATCCGGCTGGCTGGCCGGGTCTGTGGTTGGCCGGGTGAATGGTTGGCTGGCTGGATGGGTAGGTGGCTGGGTGGTTGGCTGACTGGCTGACTGAATGTGGCTCTCTCTCTGTATCTCTCTCTGTATCTGTATCTCTGTATCTATCTATCTCTCTCTCTCTCTCTCTCTCTCTCACTGGTACACATAAGTCAAGTTATCATACATATTATAAATTACCTAGGATAACCCCAAAAATCCAGACAAAGTGCTATACAGTAGATCTGTGCTCCAGTGCCCTAAATTAATAATAATATTAATCATCATTATTATTATTAGTACAATAATACACATGTACTAATATTAATAATATTATTATTAAGCTATATAATAATCGTGTCCACTCATTACTTACCTTAAAATATCTGTTGTCTTAATGTAGAGTGAGAGGTGAGTAAACAAGATTAAATGAATAAATGAGAGTGTAGAATGTTCACGAGTTATGTAAACAAACGTTGTTGTTGTTGTTACCAGCCCGGACATGAATGGTTTCTGTTCACTCTGTCAAGCCGACCAGAAAAACATCTCATATTTGTTAATTTATATGTTTATATGTAATGTAGCATGTTTATTATATAATTTTGAAAAAATCATAGATGGATTAAGCAAAATGTCTATATTAACGTTTTATACACATTTAATGCGCCTCAGTGATTATTATCATCACCATTATTAATATGGCATCTTCAAGACCAAATACACTCTTAATGAGTGGCTCTGAGACAGACAAGCAGACAGAAAGACAGACACACAGGTAGACAGAAAGACAGACACACAGACAGAAAGACAGACACACAGGTAGACAAAAAGACACACAGGTAGACAGAAAGACACACAGGTAGACATAAAGACAGACACACAGGTAGACATAAAGACAGACACACAGGTAGACAGAGACAGACACACAGGTAGACAGAAAGACACACACAATGGTAGACAGACACACACACACAGATACAGACACAGATATACAGGCAGACAGATTTTTTTTTTTTATCACACTGGCCGATTCCCACCAAGGCAGGGTGGCCCGAAAAAGAAAAACTTGCACCATCGTTCACTCCATCACTGTCTTGCCAGAAGGGTGCTTTACACTACAGTTTTTAAACTGCAACATTAACAGAGTAGGTGGACAGATACAGACAGGTTTATGTGCAACAGTGAAAACAAACAGAGTTCAAGAGTAAGAGCCTTTCTTGCCACAATCTCCAGTGCAAGATTCAGACTTCATCTCAGGGGCCGTGGTGAAATTTACTGTCCAGTTAGTACAGTTAATACAGTATGATACTGCTGATAGGACAGGGTTACTCAAACTGATGCTGCCTGCATGACACATTGCCGCTGCGAGTATTGTCAAATATTGTACAGCGGTGTGCATCAGCTGGCCCAGTCCAGCTGCCAGATGCATGGTCGTAAGTCTGCCAGATGCACGGTCGTAAGTCGAGTGGACGTATGTCGAGCAGGTCGTAAGTCGGATGGTAGGTGTATTTCATAATATTTCACTCATTTTAGTGCTTGCAATTACTAAATAAGTTACCATGACTCCAAACAAAGCTCCTAGTGCCAAGCCTTTGGTAAAGAAGGTGAGAAATACGATTGAATTTAAGAAAAACATCACTGAACAGCATGAAAGTGGCTTAAGTGCAGCTGAGCTGGCAAGGATGTATAACAAACCCTACACAAGCATATGTTCCATCGTGGCCAAGAAAGAGGAAATCAAGGACACTGTTGTTGCAAACGGGGTAAATATGCTGACAAAAATGAGATCACCAGTACTCGAAGAGGTTGATAAGTTATTATTGGTGTGCATAGACGAGAAACAATTAGCAGGAGATAGTATTATGACGTCGATTATTTGTGAAAAGGCTAGGCAGTTGCACGACGATCTGGTAAAGAAATTGCCTGCAAATAGTGGTGATGTGAGTGAATTTAAGGCCAGCAAAGGTTGGTTTGAGAGATTTAAGAACTGTAGTGGCATACAGTGTGGTAAGGCATGGTGAGGCTGCCAGTTCAGACCACAAAGCGGCTGAAAAATGTGTGCAGGAATTCAAGGAGGACGTAGAGGCTGAAGGACTGAAACCTGAACAAGTGTTCAATTGTGACGAAACAGGCCTCTTTTGGAAGAAAATGCCAAAGAGGACCAACATTACACAGGAGGAAAAGGCACTGTCAGGACACAAGTCTATGAAAGTCAGGCTGACGCTCATGTTCTGTGCAAATGCTATTGGGGATTTCAAAGAGAAGCCGTTACTAGTGTACCATTCTGAAAATCCCAGTGTGTTCAGGAAAAACAATGTTATGATGAGTAAATTGTGTGTGTTTTGGAAATCTAATAGTAAAGCATGGGTCACGAGGGAAATTTTCGTCGAGTGGTTCAATGAAGTGTTTGGCCCTAGTGTGAAGAATTACCTCCTGGAAAAGAAATTGGATCTCAAGTGCCTCCTAGTAATGGACAATGCACCTGCTCATCCTCCAAACTTGAATGACCTAATTTTCGAGGAGTTTGGGTTCATCACAGTAAAGTTCTTGCCCCCGAATACTACTCCTCTCCTCCAGCCCATGGACCAGCAGGTCATTGCAAACTTTAAAAATCTCTACACCAAAGCAATGTTTCAAAGGTGCTTGAATGTGACCTCAGACACTCACTTGACCCCTAAGAGATTTTTGGAGAGAACACTTCAGCATCCTCCATTGCATAAGCCTTATAAGTATGGCTTGGGAGGGAGTGACTATCAGGACTTGGAACTCTGCTTGGAGAAAACTGTGGCCAGATTGTGTCCACAAGAGGGATTCTGAAGGGTCTGCGGCTGACCCTGATGAGCCTATGTCTGTTGTTAAATCTATTGTGGCACTGGGGAGTTCCATGGGGTTGGATGTGAGTCTGGAGGATGTGGAAGAGTTGGTGGAAGACCACAACGAAGAGCTCACCACTGAGGAGCTGCAAGAGTTTCAGCAAGAAGAGCAAGAGATCGCAGCTCAGAATCTTGCTGCAGAGGAGGAGGAAGAGAGATGGAAGAAGGTGCCTTCTTCAGAAATTAAGGAGATTTTTGCAATGTGGGGTAAGATGGAAAGATTTATGGAGAAACATCACCCTGACAAGGCTGTTGCAAGCTATGTTGGCAACATGTACAGTGACAAAGTCTTGGGCCATTTTAGGGAAGTGTTAAAGAGATGCCAGAAATTGAGCTCTCTGGACAGTTATTTTGCGAGACAGGACTCCAGTGACTCTCAAGCTGGTCCTAGTGGCATTAAGAAACAGAGAAGTAACCCCAGAAAAGCAATTGGTACCTGAGGTGTTGATGGATGGGGATTCCACTTCCAAACTGTAAATAATCCAATCTCTCTCCTCCTCCAAACTCCCATACACTAAGAAGAATCTCCAATAAAGATAAGTGTAATGCTGTTAATGTTTTATTCATCATGTCCCATTGTCTTGTTTATGTACTACATCTATATTTCTTTTTCTGTCTCATAAACACGCTAGATAACAGGGATATCTTGCTACTCCTACTTACACTTTGGCCACACTTCACAGACACGCACATGCATATATATATACATACATCTAGGTTTTTCTCCTTTTTCTAAATAGCTCTTGTTCTTCTTTATTTCTTCTATTGTCCATGGGGAAGTGGAAAA